GCTCCGAAAACTGTACCACGGCATCATCCATGGCGATAAAACAGATTGGACTGCTCAAACGTGTTTTTGGATCGTTTGAGCCGGCTTTGTTTCCCCGTCTGTTAGCCAGATATATTCGTCCATACACCAAGTACTCAATTCAGGCCTATAACACATGGTTGCAGCGAGATCCGAAGGCACTTGAACATCCACAGAGAATGGTTACCAAGATGGTCAAAGGTCTACATGCCAAGAACTACGGTGAAAAATTATATCTATTGGGGCTGCAATCCTCTGAATATCGTGAAATCAAAGGTGATATGATTTTACTATATCGGATACTCCAACAGTCCAACCATCCGTGTAGATTTCTTTTGGTTCCATCAACCAATGTTCATCTCAGAGGGCATCCACTGAAGTTGACAATCCAAAAGAGCCGTCTCGACTGCACGCGCCATTCATTTGCAGTCAGAGTGCGCAGCACATGGAACTCTCTACCACCTCACGTGATCTCTGCGCCAACATTAGTATATTTCAAGCATCAGCCTGGAAGATGCTCTGGCAAACAATATATTTCAACACCCCAACCACATAATATATTCTTCTGTGCTCGTCAGAAACATTGCATAACTATTTTACTTTCATGGACTAACTGTGATCTTGTGAATCGTGTTCCAAACCCAGTGTGCAAACACCCTATGGGATTTGATAAGCGAAGTCTTTGTAATAATAATAATAATATAATAAAATAATAATAAAAAATAATAATAGTAATAAAATCTTGAATTTTAATTTGGCGAATCATTCAGTCCATTTCACATCAAGCTGCCAAATAGCACGCTAATGGTTCAGAAGGTGGGAGAAAGTTCTGGGTTGGAGTTGACTAGGCCTAACTGGGCACTTTTACCAGGTCGTAGACGTCAAACACACTCACGGGTCAAAAAGATACGCAGCTGTTTGTATGCTGTGGCCGTGGATTGTTCTCCCGCCTCTAACCAGTAATAGTTTGTATGATCACTTTATATTTGAATTGGTAAATCGGTGTGTATATCACTCCGTGTGTGATAAACAACTAACCAATAAGAAAGAGTGACCGACCTTACTTTGATTAGGGGAACATCACCAAAACTATGCAAATTCTGTATCTGTGGCAAAATATTCTTGGGTTTGTATTTTTGTTCACATCATAATAATTCTTTTTATAAAAAGTATGCTTTCTTATCGTCAGAATTACTATTCCAAAGTTTTTATTCAAGAAGTAATATAGTATTAAAACAGGTCACAAATCATCCGTGATTATTGAGAATCGATTCAGAGAGTCATGCTCTTGTTTTGACAATAACTGACATGGCACTGGGAGAACCTTCGCGGAATTGAAACTGTTATCCGAAAGTGTAAAAGCAGCATACAAAATGAGACATATCTGAGATTGAGGTGAATTCACTATGTCCGGATATGATTCGGAACACATCGAAAACTTACTTTGATTGTTACCGTGAACAGAAATATGCAGAGCAAGCCGAAGTGGAGTAAACACGAGCTGGAAGGTAAAACCACAGGAGTACGTCGATGTTAAATGGGAATAAAATCAAGAGTGCCGGTAGTCACATCATGATTCAGGCTGCTGGGAAATCGTTCAAAATTTGCGGTGAATATATACAAGCTGATTTAATTTCGTTTGTTTGCTATAAGTTTTTGGAAGTTTCTATTCTCTTCTAGCATGTTCCTTGGCGTTATACACCTGATGTAATCTAAGGATCTACTATTGGTGGTGTGCTATCTTACATCGGAGCGTCTTGTCAACTAAATCAAATGGCGAACAAAACATTTCCTCAAATACACATGGGAAGAAACACAAGAAGAATAGGAATACACTAAATCAGACTGTGGTGTTTATTTTTGACCTGATTGAGTGCCGTCAGGAGTGAGGATTCTCCCACCCAAATGAGGACCACAAATCAGACCTCACAGATGCATCATGAGTAAAACAATTGGAAAAGATGTGCAATGATTTCAACACGGGATGCGGATATTGGTGTTGGTGAGTTCTCCGAACTGGGAGTGTTGTTCGCAGACGTTTCGTAGCCAAGCTAGACACGATCATCACTGCGACTTCCGGGAAGCGCCAGTCCTCAGTACGATCGAGCTTGCACAGTTCTGTTTCAGGGGTTCGATTAGCTGTTTTTCGTCCCTTCAATCTCATTGGCCAATAGCTATCGTTTGATGTGATCTGATTGGCTGTTTCGTCGTTATGATGACCATCTTTTTTTTCTCATTGGTCGACTAGCTTCCCCAGGCCAACCGCAAACCGGTAAGGAACCGGTTCCATGCTGGTTATAACTGATTTTAGACCGGTTCTAGCTGGGACAGCCTCATGTCACCAGTGTTTCCTTAGATGGTGATTGATGGGTTTCAGTTCTATATGCTTATTTATACTGTCCGTTCTGGACTGCCAGGCTTCAATGAATTCCCCTAATGACTTGGTGGTTCCTCTTCCGATTATTCTTGTGTTTTCCAGTTGATCCTGTGGACTTAATAGGATGGCTCTCACTGTCGATACACGTGTCACTACCAGGAACACCCACGTACCGCTTAGCGAATGAACTTTATAAACTACTCAGTCGCTTGGTTCGAGGTTCACAAAATTCTAATAACTCATCAGAGCAGTTTCTGGAAAAGATTAAACTAATGAGATTGGAAGAAGACGAACTTATGGTCTCATTTGACGTCACTGCTCTATTCACTTCAACAGACATCAACTTTGCGAAACAAACCATGGCTGCTCTAATTAACATCAACAATGACAACCCAACAACTAGCCAAATCGGACAACAAAACCTCCTCTACCTTTTGAATCTGTCTTTACAATTCAACTGACAGCTATCCGAACAAATACGAGGCACCCTGAAGGGTTCGCCAATTTCAGGACTCAACGTAGAAGCGGTTATGTAGAGATTGGAGACTATTGAAATTCCTATCATCAAGCCGAAATTGTGGGTCAGGCTGGTTGATAACACCTTTGTCATCCTGAAATCTAGCCAACTAGAAGAGACTCACCGCCCAATCAACTGTGTTCGCTGGAATCAAATTCACCCTGGAGAAAGAACAGAACGGACCCGTTCTGTACGTACTGGTCAAACGAACCACTCGCTCTGATGAAACTTGATAGAAATTGTTGTATCTCATACTTAACCTCTATAGACCGATCACATGTATTTGTACATTAGATATAAATATACATACACATAACTGAAGTTACTAAAACAAGCTTGTTCGCTACATTGTTTGGCTTTTGATATTCCTATGGGAATCCTCCATGAATTAAGAGAACGAAAAGATCCTCTGGACCTGAAGATGCTCAATAGTTATTTGTGCTTTAGAACCAGGCTTGCGGAAACGAACACGAAGATCGAATTTCTCTATCAATGCTTAGACCAGAACCAGTATCCGAAGACCTATTGGAAAGTGCTTCGTCGTGCTCGTATCAGACCAGATGCAGTTTCCCTCAAGCGCCATGCCCGAATTGAAATCGATACCATCAGATCATGTGCCGTGTCATGAGAAGAAAACGTTGATAAACACTAGTCCAATTGTAAATTATTGAACACAGAAGAACATGAACGATTCGAGCAATTTTCTTTTATTAACATCAGGAAAAGGGTCGAAAAGAAACTTTGCAAATTGACTAATACAATAAATGATCAGAATGCGAGATCGAAGTTCCCCCAAAGTCCGGAGCGATACGTTCACAATCTATCGAATCTACCAATAGATAATACG